CTGGAAATCTCAATGCAGTTTCCATTAGGGGGAAAAATGGACAATTTTTATATCGTGTGATAGCATAGTAATTGAGATTGAGAACCCAATTTCTTTCTCTAACAGTTTCTATCCCAGCAACTGAAAATGGCTAACCTGGCTTTTCATAATCATTCAGATCTTCATCATGGCTTTCCAAGAAATGATAATGTGACTCTAATATACAGCTAAACCCTTTTTTTGAGCCACACCATGATTTTGTGCCAATTCCTAACCACAAAGACTCCAGCTCAGAACTAGTACCTGACATGGCCATTTTTGTATATGTGCCAACATGACAAACACTTTAAACACAAAAACCCTTTCAGAAGACAGTAACAAAACCACACCTCCAACATGTTCTTTTTGAAGCTAAAAGGCCAAGAAACCAAGATTTGTATGCAAAAAGCTTTGCTTTCCTGTTTTATACCGGCTGACTATAGATACATAAAAAGACCCAAACAAATTCTTCCCTCTTTTTCTTCTTCATCATCATGAAGGGAGTTGGGGATGCTGTCAGGCAACACTGAGGACAAGATGGAGAACTAGAGAGTTTGATATGGGTCATGAAGTCTGCTGGTGTTCTGTGGGGTGGCGGTGGGAAGGGTCCTTTAAACTGGAAGACAGACACTGGACTGGAGAAAACGCACATAGCGGTTCACTGGACAGTTAGTTTGCACTTAAGCTCCGATTTTATTTGAACTGTTTTCTGGATTTTGAATGAAGCAATATGGAAGTGACCAGCAAAATGCAAAATAATAATTTTAAATTAAAAAAAAAGAATTATATGTAAAGGATGACTGTGGAAATGCCAAAATGAAGCAAATCAAGTCTTTGGAACAATATCTACCAGTTCTGAGAGGCAATTGCATTGACTGCTTCAGAGAATACAGTGACAGAGCAACCAGCTCTTACTGCTGCCATGTGAAGGACAGCAGAGCAAGCCCTGAAAGGGATCGGAGGAGACAAATGTCTTGCTCTGGCTTGCAGCACAGTACGGAATACTTTTTTCTAAAAGGAGGATTACTCTGGCACAGAAGACAGTGTGTATAAGGTTTGAGAAGTCAAAATGTGCATGACTCGCAGAGCTTTCTGTCAAAAATGTAAATAAGTATGAGTCAGTCTCCTTGCACTTAGTCCTGCTTTCATCAACCTCAATTTTTAGGTAGACACGCCCACCCCACCCCCTGGCCTGCTCCTCTTCGGAGATATCTTTCAGCCAGAGTTCTGGACGCTTTTAGCAATCTGAGGCAGATGGAGCTGGGAAGGGAGGCGTAAGGGCCAGAGACACTGATGGCTTGCTCCTGACACACCAAGACCCATGTGTGTAAGAGGATTTGCGTACCTAGTTCCCACCAAAAATCTTAAGGAACTATTAAGTACCTGTGAAGATCTGCCTATGTCTCTATCCATTGAGGCTTTGGAAGGGGAAAAAACAATACCTGATGAATGGCAGTCTTAGGTGATACAACAGTATTTCAGTTTATGCGCTTCAGTACTGTTAAAGTCGAGATCTTTGGAGTGACCTAACCTGACAACAAAACCAGCAACAACCAGTGCTCTGGAAATGGCATCAAGCTCCTCCAAATTCCTGCCATCTCAACAGCTTGCCACCCTTAATCATAGGGAAGCAGAGGAAGGAGTAAGAAACAAGCAATAGTTACCCAAATCTTGGTGGCTGAGGGTCAGCTTGACAAAGGTATGAAGAGATTTCAAACCTGGGTTGGTTGTTATGCTTGTAGATGGGAAACAAATTGTGTATGATCACTAGGTCAAGACTGGTTCAGCCAACAGCCTGTTTCTGCATCAGGTGTGTTCCGGCCAGCTTGAACCAGCTGCGGGGCGGATATTAAATCTGTAAACCGAGTACCTAGCTGAAGAGTCTGAAAACAGCAAGAACGAGTACAGATCTTTGAAGCTATTAAAAGCTTGGGTCAAGTGGTACCAAGGTAGTGGCAGAACACTATGACCAGCAGACCATTAAAGTGGGATAGATGGTTACAAAACATCATGCATCTGAGAGGCCTTGCCTCTTCCTGGTGCCCTCCCATAACTCCTCATGATCTTCGCAGGAGACAGAGGCAGGCATTGGGCAGGGGCTGGGGGCACAGAGGGGTGGCATGAGGTCCTGGAGGTGCCACTCCAGGGAAGGTTTGCCAGCGGTGGTGCTCACAGGGTGTCGTCTGAAGCATGGGCAAAGGTCTGCCAGGTTGGGACGCAATTGCCAAGCTGCCTGGGGACAAAGACGGGCACAGGATTGTGGATGTCCTGTTTCAGCGCAGAAGCAGCTCAGGTTACATAGGTAGGTGGAGAAAGGGGTTGATTTGTCCCTGAACAAGTCTTGGAACAGAGTAACTCCTAATGGAGGAAAAATAAAATAAAATCCTGGTACAGCTTACGTGTTTGAATTCGAAGAGGTGCACTCAAACGCTGCTGGGGCAGAAACATGCACAGCTCCAAACCTGGGTGGGGTGGTGCTGGCATGCAGCTGCTAACGGAAGGTGAGGCCTGTTTGTTTCTCTGGTAATTAAGTAGTACCGGTGTTGGAAACAAGCCTGTCGAATAATCAAAATGTAAATAATTGTGGTTTTTAACAATTTAACATTTTATTTCTTACAAAACTTGAATTATTTATTCATTTTAATTGTTGACTGTGGGTGTGATATAATGTATTAAGTAGCATGGAAATGCAGAGGTTCCTTGAAGTGAGGCAGCATGAAGGCCAGAACGGAAGCTACCTTACACTGGGGCTCTGACACGCAGCCAGGCTGAGCCGTGCTGAGCCATGCTAGTTGTGTCTTGAATAGCAGAGGGCAAACAAAGGGTTAATGAACACCGTAATTTGTCATGATGGAAAACTCAACAGACTGCAGCTTCACAAATGGGCATTTTTATTTTTTTTTCTGAGCTTCTGGTTCGAGTTGCAGTTGCCAAAAATGGCTCTTATGTTTCGTGCTGTGCCAGTAGTTGACCTTTGTTGCAGTGTATGGGCCTGCGTGGTGCTGAGCGTCTGGTTAACCGGTTCCTTTTCCCCAGTAAGAACAGCAGTCTTGTGAACACAGCTTGTAAATGTGCGCGTTTCCTCTGGAAGAGTAGTGCCTCTGAGCCACTTTGGCAGATTTTTGTCTCTTTTCCAAAGAAAGTTTAACCATAGTTAAAAAAGCAAAACTGAGAGCAGAACTGTTTGGCTGCTTTAATCTGACCAGCAGAAATACCTGGCTGGCCCTAACTCGCGTATTTGCCTTGGTGGTTATGGTACGGCTGCTGGCTTGGTGAAAGAAGTCAGGCAAATGTACGTGGCAAAATCATGGCAAATATTCAACTGATTATGTTGTGGAAGTTGAGGCTCAGGGTTTTTAATGAATAATTACAGGTTTTGGGGAAAAGCAGATATTTCCACATACAAACTGCATTTTGTCAGCACAAAGCAGTAGGTGAGAGCATCAGCACAAGTCTTTTGTCTGGCTGGAATTAATTCTCTAGTTTTACAATGGTATCTGTACACAGCACTGTCAGTTTTTATGGATTTTATAACGCAGTCTCCTATTTGTAAATGTTTTCCTTTCCCTTATCGTAGCCTGCACAATGGAAGAGCAGTGACTAACTTTTCAAGAGTGGATACCCGATTGTGTATCAGCCATTGTCCAAGGCACAAAGCAATGCGCTAAATGAAAGAGCACAGGAGCTTATTTTTTCCTAATCTCTTTCAGTGATACTTGTCTCAGATGTTATTATCTACCTGAGGGTTATTTCAAACAGACGTGGATGCTGGATCTGATTGACTTGCTGTAACATAACTGACTGAAACCAACTACTTTTAAGTTTCCTTCTTCAGCTCTTTCCAAATTTTTCTTTTTCTGCAAAATAGCCAGGAGGGATACTTATGTGGCCATTCGCTCAGATGTAGCAGAGTATTTACAACTTGCTTTCAAACAGGTCATCTCGCACAGGTAGCAAGCAATGGAAATAAATCCGAGCGAGTATCAGCGGTTAGGAGCCACCGTGTGGGTCTGTTTCAGGTACCTTAAGCTCAGCCCAGAAATCCTTTCCTTTGTACACAGAAAGGTTGCGTTAACCCTGGTTGTACCTCTGATTTGGTAGAAAACACATTTCCCGACTGCAGGAATTGTATGCAATGATCTCATTCCATTTATTTCCTGGATTAATGGGGAAATACCCTTCCCTTCCTGTCCCACAGCTGGTAAGGCCAGAAGCCGTGTGTGAAGGGCACTTGTGTAGATGTGGTGCTGGGGCAGGGCAGCCTGTACACATGCCACCGACCCGATACCTGTTTGCACTAAAGATTTGAGAGGGAGTTACAGGGGAGCGTTTCTCCCCACCCTCAGCCACCAATCCCAGCCTAGAAGCAAAGAAAATGGCAACTCTAAAAGACCAGCTAGGCCCAACGCTCTGTGGATCAATTATTTCCATAGCTAGAGATAGAGCTGGGCAGTATGGGTGAAAAGTACTAGCTGTGAGGTAAGTCAGCCTAGAAATGTAGCTTGGGGTTGGGGTTTTTTTTTGAGGATGGACCTATGTGGGAAACTCGGATATTAAAGAAAAAATTGGGTTTTTTCTGATGGGGTGCCTGTGTAGGTGTCCTGTATCATGGTGGCAGCTAAAGGAATGAAGGGATTATTTGGGCTCCTTTATAGCACCCAAGAGACAAGGAGACTTTGGCACAAGTCAGAATTAGGCTGTTGGTCATGTCGTTCCCCAGGATGACCGAAGGCATCCCGCTCAGCCTTGCTTCCCCCGGGAGCCCTGTGCACCCTGGGCGGGCGTCTCTTTATGGAAAGGGTAGCAGCCACTGCAGCACCCATGTGCACGCACACACGGACGCTCGCACCCTCTGTCTGCTGA